GGGGGGTGGGGGGGGGTAAAGGACTTTGAAGTTCGAACACAGTCCTTCGGTGGTTGCTGGCAAATCTCAGAACTTGGTCGTTCGTAATGGACCTCCATCTCCATAGCTATTCTCCATGCGTCAACGTCTTAGATTAAGCTCCTCTAGGAACAGTACGGTCGTTCTCTTTATTATGTTACCTTACTACCATTGCCTTCCATAATGGTAGCCTGCTCCTCTCTCATGCGGCGGCGGAAGAGGAGGAGGAGGAAGCTGCTTCTCTCCCTTTCAGCACCATGCCTTCAAAGCTCATACCCATAATTTTCTTGCTTTGATGTTTCCGATGGAAATGAAATCCGCTCTCAATCACTCGTTGTGTCCAGAAGCCATCCCCACCACCGTCCGCGAAACATGACATGTGGTCATTGTTTTACGCTTTTTGCTGTATTTAGGACATTTTCCGGACCAGATACAGGTATAATGGCCATGGCTTGTGTTCTGGGAAAGACAGTAGCCTCCTGGCTGTTTGTTGCTGGGTAGAGTGCTTGGGAAAGATGCAAACTGTCCGAATTTTTTTTCCTTCACGAATCGATTTCGAATTTGAACGTCGTTTCTCTTTTTCGTTGAGAAGCAGTGCACAAGAAAGACCTTTGGAATTTGGACGTCGTTCCATAGCCTGTGCTGTTCCATATCCAGACCGTTGTCCTTACAGACTTTTTTTTCACCATGCTGGAGCGATGCACTGAGCACGGGGGTGTCAAGACTTGGCCATAGACATGGTAAGAAAATGTCTGAAGGATGAAGGAGGACAATCCACCTACTCTGGAATATGTGTAGTCCTTTGTCTGAAGGTAATGAAGTCAAGATCGACCAACCTTACAGAAGAATAAGTTATTGACTTTCTGGTCCTTGCATGATGGTGTGCCCTGCGGTGTCTTCTCCTCTTGGCTTCCAGGTTCACAGCAGTGAGGAAGTGTTGTTAAGAAGGCTTGGAGTTGAGAAAGTGCCACATGTGAGTAGTAGCCGGCTTCTCCATCCACCTTATCCTCTCACCTTGTGCATTCACCCCTCATCTTATCCTCTTAGCTTATCCATCTACCTATCTACCTACCTACCTCCTACGTACCTACGTACCTACATACCTACCTACCTACCTGCCTACCCCCCTCTCTCCCTCCCTCCCTCCCTCCAGCCTCCCTGCCTGCCTGCCTGCCTGCCTGCCTGCGTGCCTGCCTGCCTGCCTACTGGCCTGCTTGCCTGCCTGCCTGCCTACTGGCCTGCTTGCCTGCCTGCCTGCCTGCCTGCCTCCCTGCCTCCCTCCCTCCCTCCCGCCCGGCCTCCCTGCCTCCCTGCCTCCCTACCTTGTGAGTAGTAGTCTACTTATATGTCCACCTTATCCTTTCATGTTACGCATTCAGCTTATCAATCGACTTCGTCCGTCCATACATCCACCTACCTACCTACCTACCTGCCTACCTACCTACCTACCTACCTACCTACCTACCTACCTACCTACCTACCTACCTACCTACCTTTCCTACCTACCTGACCTACCCACCTATCTACCCACCTATCTACGCACCTGCCTACCTACCTACCTACCTACCTACCTACCTACCTACCTACCTACCTACCTACCTACCTACCTACGTGCCTACCTTACCTACCGAGTGAGTAGTAGAATACATGTCCATCTACCTTATCCATTGATTCACCTACCTAGTTGCCTGACTACCTTGCTGCTTACCTACCTACCTCCTTGTTAGCATTTGCCACAACAGCACGGCGGAGTAGAGCCAGGTAGTGCCTGGCCAAGAGGTACTGGAGGCCAGCAGCCAAACTATATCATTTGGTGCGAAGAGCAGTGCACTCCCGACAGTCATGCTGCTGCTCTGCCAAGAGCCACAAAGTGGTATAGCTCCTGGACCTGGAGGTTGAAGGTGCAGGCCTTTTATGAGCCTTTTACTGTCCACCTTTCCTGTGCTGGAAATGTACCTTGGAACATTGCTTTGCGTGTTCTTTCGCATTTGTGTTCATGCTCGTCACATGATTTCCATATCTGCCCATGTTTTCTGGCCGTAACGATGCGTTACCACGTGGAAGTATCTGGTCAGTATGTTGGTGTAGACTGAGTAGGTCCCTCATTTTGACAACAACGATTCTCCCGACTGCGCACTCGTTAACTTTTCCATTCCAACGTCGGAAGAAAAACATGGAAGGGATTTTGCCCGCTTGCTCTTGGAGGAATACGATGGCGCAGATGAGGTAAGGATACGGAGATTCCATAGTCGTCAAATTCTCCAATCCTTTGCGATCTCCGTATCCTACTATCATTACCTCATCTGCAGTCCAACTTACTTTCGTCCGAACTTTTGCTCTCCTGCGTGTCTCAATCTCGACTTGGTACGGTTGGTGGTTCGATGATAGAATGTTCGGTGGCGGCTTTGGAGGAGATGATATGGTGCAGAGCAGCCATAGCTGCTTTCTATTGTGTACCCAGAGCTGCTATCTACAATGTAGCCATGGCTGCTTTCTACTATGAATGAAGTATATACCCAATCTTTTTCACTGCTGCCTTTTGTATGGTGATAAGGAGGTCGGGTGCTCAGGTGGGCAAGACTTTGGGAGGTTTTCCTTGTGTTTTTCGTGATGAAGAAGCAATCCATGCTTTCCAATCAAGTGCATATGCTTTCCAATCAAGTGCATATGCTTTCCAATCAAGCATATGATTTGATTGGTCGCAACAACAGTGTGTGAGCAAGGAATTGATCGAACCCAAGATGATTCTTACATGTCACCTTGTCCTGCCCCCCCCCCCAAAACCTCTCTCTCTCTCTCTCTCTCTCTCTCTCTCTCTCTCTCTCTCTCTNTCTCTCTCTCTCTCTCTCTCTCTCTCTCTCTCTCTCTCTCTCTCTCTCTCTCTCTCTCTCTCTCTCTCTCTTCAGTTTTTGTATTCTAAATTCTGACAAGCCTTTCTTTGTGTGTGTGTGTGTTTCATGAACTTTCACCAGGTGCTCGTACTTGTACAAGTCGCCAATCCAACCACAGGCAGAGTAGAAGTCCAAGCGCAGCACTATGGTGGGCCCCTCAACTACCCAGGCCTGGCCTACTTCCTTAATCAAGTAAGTTCTTGTCAAGTTATTTTCTTAGAGCCTGATGGCCGTCTCATTTATTGTGAGTCGTTTCCCCTTTTTCTTTTGTTTAATATGTTTATCGTATTTGGGCACATCAGAATTCCTCACAGAACTGAAGATAAAAAAGAAAATAACCAAATCACACGAAGGCACCCCCCTTTAGACCCCTGTAGTAAAATTCACTTATACTCCCCTTCCTCCCCCTTGACAGCCAACATTCAAAAAAAGAAAAGAGCCCGGATTTGGGCTCCTCTCGGAGAGCGCGGAAAACCCCCACCGCCGATTTCTTTTTTTTTCTTTTGATTTTTTTCCCCATGCCCGGGGCATCACGCCCAGCTGACCGGCCGGTCATGAAAATCTTCCTAGGTTTATTCAACTTTATTTATTAGTTTATTGATTAATTTAATGAATTTTAAGCATTTATTTACTCTGTCATTATTATCATGTTCACTGCGGACATAGACACTGGACAGATCCAAACTGTGCGGTTGGCAATCAGTAAATTTCGGTACTAATTATTTTTGAGAAAAGTTTAGAAAACTTTAAACTTTTCCTGCCAGTATCTATCGGACTCTTGTCGTGTTTCCCCTTACTCTGTATGAGGGGGGGGGAGGGAGGAGAAAGGGAGAGGGACTCTCTATTTTATGATAAAAAATGACATGCAAAAAACGTATCGATGTTGACTGCAGTATGTGCGGGGAGATGCGACTGCCCAGGGTGATGGTTCATTATTGGACGGATCATCACCATCAGGTGTAGCTGTGACTGAAATTGACAACCAAGAGGAATTCAAGAGCCGCTGCATTTCATCAGGAAGGTAAGTAATCAAAGCAAGATAAATCGCCTTAGCTGATTCACGGTGCTGTTTTTTTGTTGCTTTTTCGATGTGGACCGTTCGTCGACTTATTCAATGTTATTGCATGTCATCCTTGTTTTGGTGCAGGGGTCGTGCTTATCTTCTCTGTATCGTTGCAAAATTTAAATGGATGTTCCAGAGGACGCCTGATTTTAACGGTTATCGAACTTATCGGCAACGTCTCACTTTTAGTGTAAAGAAATTGCAACTAATCGTTTGTTTGATGGGTGCAAAATTGTAAATTGACTTTAATTGAGGCTTGTCTGATGGATAATTAATGCTTTGTTTGTTGGCTGGATTTGGAGCTGTCAATTTTATTTATTTATTTATTTATTTATTTTACTCCATCAATTTTTCTGATCTTGTATGATTTCTCTCTTTTTTTTCTGATTTTTTCTTTTTGATCAGGGTCTGTATGATTGGGTTCTTCGACGGAGCAGTACCAGAGGTTGAAGATCACGTAGACCGGTTTTCTCAGTTTGCAAGTGGCAGTGTTGCTCGCCAGTTTGGTCTTGGGTGGGTTGATGTTTCCAAGTTTGCGTCCGTTGCGCTGAAGTTCGGCATTGCCAAGAGAGATGTCCCGACCGCCGTGGTCCTAAGTTCTCAGAAGATGCGCTTCGCATTGTTGGCGGAGGAGTATGGAATTCAATCACTAAACAGATTGCTCTCTGGAGCTCTATCTGGGAAGATTCGCACAGTTGTGCTTGATGTAAGTGTGCAGAGGAGAACTCTCTCTCTCTCTCTCTCTGTCTCTCT